CAAACCCCAGCAATTAAACCTAACCTAGATTCTCACACAGCCTAAACCGTAAACACTATTCAGTCTGACTTGGTTATTAATGAATCTCCTAGAGGAGAAATCAGGACAAAACTCAAGCAATATCCCTGGCATAAACAAAGTCAGTTCTGCTATGCAGGGTGCTGTCATGTCTTTGTACCACACGTACACCAAGGGATTATTACATTTGCGTCCCAGAAATTGGACTGAGACTTTCACTCATCCTGCAGCATAACGCAGGTAACAACAGGGACTCTAATGACACATCAAAGGCTTTGCTAAGCTCCTGGTAACCATGAGAACGAAGCTGAAGTGGTTTGTTGTACCTTCAGCCCTGGGAGAGGTATGTTTAGCCTGATCCATGCTTCTTGCCATTGTGTTGAGCAGTTCAAAGGACTTCCCGTGATTTTAAAGAGAAAAACATGGTTTCTCTCCTGGATGTTCCACTTTTGGTGCCATTGTGCCAGCAAAGTGAAGAGAAAACATGAGGAGTTTGGGGTTTGATTTCAAGACAGTTCTGCGTAAGTTATTGCCAGCGCCTGGGACAGATGAGCCAAAGGATACAACAGCTGGATTATGTGATTGCTGGCAGCTTGGCTATTTTTCACTTGCTGTTTAGACTTTATAATGACATTTCAGGGCTCAGATGTCTGGACCTGAACAGGGCACCAAAGTAATGAAGCAAACTTCTGTGGCTAGCTGGCCATAAGCTCCCTTGCACAGGGTAAGGTGCAAAGATGAGAATTTCTGCAACAGGGTCTTTTACCCAAATGCTGCAGAGGCAGTGGTAATTGTCTGGGAACTGAGATACATTCCTCTTAGTCTGACATTTTAACATTTCATTAGGCAAAGCATATGGTGCTGAGGAGTCCTTTGGCAGCAACAGGAGGTGGCAGGTAAGGCCAGTCAGGGGGGAGCAGAAAAGGAATGTGGGCACTCTCTTGAGCAGTGATTGATTCCACAGCTCACCTAAATACTCTGCTAATTAGCACTCTGAAAGATGAGTGTGTGCAAAAGAGGCTGCAGGAGGTGGGTAAAAGATGGCCAAGGGATGCAGGGGACAGAGGTGTGAGTAGGAACAAGCAGAAGTGCATGCACTCTGGATGTAGGGAGAGCATCTCGGGGAGCCAGCAAACCCTGGCAAGCGTGGGGGCAAAGTGAGGAGCTTATAGGCAAGGGAGAACACCTGGGAGGAGAGAATGCCTGTATTGTCTCCCCCTTTGGCAGGGAAGCTGACTCCCTTCGTGTGTTATCTGTGAATGTGCTGACTTCTGGCTGGCTGAAGTTGCTGAACCAGTTGCTGCACTGGAATGATATGGCATTTTCTTTTTTATTCAATTTCAGGAAACTGAAAAGCTCCTGCAGTTGCAGGTGGAGAAGTGGCAAATTAGGTTGCTTTTTCAGTGGTTTGTTGATGGATTTATTGTGTTGTTGTTTACTGGCTCAGCTAATAAAACACACTTTAGATTTAAAATGTGACTGCTGCATTCCCAAACACCTGCAGAGTCATCCAGCATCCATATAAAGTTGTGTCCTTCCCTTGACAACACTTACTCTTGTTGGTAAGTAAGTGGCGAGAGGGCAAGAAGGTATGACCAAGGCCAGCTTGTGCCCACCTGGTCTCTGCTGCCATCCCGGCCCCCTCTGAGGCTCTTTCTGGCTGCTCTAAATGGCACTCAACCACCAGACCCACAATCTGCAGTCCTTTGAGTTGTTCAGCCTTCTTCATAGTGGCTGTTGATCACAGCCAAGACTTGCAAACAGTACAGTGGATAAAAAAGGCTTTTCTGGTTTTTTGGGGGGAGTTCAGGATACTTCAGAAGGAAAGCACTGATCAGAGGAGAGGTCCTTTAGAAAAGCCGACTTTGGGAACACCTAGCTAAGAGCCTTTTGAAATAATAAAGTGATTAGTAAAGCCAATGAAGGAATAGGAAGGTAAAAAGGAAAAGTCTTGTGTAACCTGCTGACGGAGCCAGGGGAAATGCATCAACATATCCTTTACACAAGTGACAGTGACAAATATTAGAAGCAAAAAGTCCATTTCAGTTGGAAAGGACACAGAAAGTATTGAATGGTAAGATCTGTGAGGACGTGCTTGACAAGCTTGCCAACCCTGAAGCTCCCCAAGGGAATTTTGAGCTGGCAGAATAAAGCATCACAAAAGAAACAAGAGGAGCAAGGCTGTTGAGTCCACACCTTGCTGCCAAGTTTTCATACCTGCTTCTTGAAATCCTAATCTTCATCCAGATTATGAAAGAGAGGCATCAGAGCAAATGAGCAATTTGTTTGTGGTGGCCTTTGAGTGTCCAGAAGAAAATCATTCCAACAATGTGCTTGTAGGTTTGTCAAAATCACTATCAGTCTTTCCATTGACTTCAATGAGTCTTGGTTTAAATCCTAAATATCAGGTGTCTCATGTAAAACAGGTACATTCAGTCCAGAGGTGAAGAGATCAGCAAGTCAGAAAGAATGATTTGTTTCCAAAGAAGTTATATTGGTCACACAGTGGTTCTTGGCTGAGAAAGCCAAGCTGGGGCCAGACTTAATGCAAGCAGGACAGTAATCCTGACCTCTTTGTCAGCAGAATGATTGCTACAAGGACATAGCGGTCACTATGCGCGTACATGGATTCATAAAGGATTGGCAGACTCAAGAGTAGAAATGTCCTTGGTCTCTGGTGCACTCAGTCACCTGGTACAGCCTCTGAATCATGGAAGCCATAATCCACCGGCTGCTGGGAGATGACAGCAAGGTGTGGTTTGCTCTGAATTCACCCAGGTTTCATAATTCCCTAAATATCCACTGGCCTCCTCTGCCGGAGGTGGAGTCAGCCTGCATAGACCCAATAAACCCGCTGTCATTAACCTGGCCAGAGTATGGAGCATTGTATCAAGGGCTGTGAGCCCTTGGGACCCAACAGTGAAGGATGACTCAGGGCTTCAGTGCAAGTAGTCCCCATGGGGTGTACAGGGACCATGTCCTGCTGATGCTGAATAGCTAAGAGCTCTTTACCAGGACCGAACCTGACCTGATTGTGGGAGCTGCTTTTATAGGGGTTTTTTCCCCCGTGGGGTAGCTCCTGGGGCACAGTGGGACAGATGTGCCCAGTGGAAACAGGACAGTGGTACTGAAAAACAGCAGAAATGAGTATATGCTGCTATTGCATGAAGGAGCAGGGAGGTACCACTGAAACGCTGTGGGGCTTGGTTCAGAAGGTCTGCAGGACACTCACTGCTTTCCTTTGCTAGCTCATACAAGAATTAGGCGTAGACTTCCCCATGGTGCAATCTGCTCTGTGGCACTGTGACCCCAGTGACCACTGCAAAAGGGTCACGTGCCTCACCTCCTAGACATTCCCAAAGGCTGGGTTAAATGGGTTTTAAACCCCTTCTGCAGGTGCTGCAGGGGCTCCAGGTCTGCAGGAGGCTTTGGCCACCTAGCCCTGTCCCATCAAAATTACAGCAGCTTCCAGCTCTGTAACTTCAAGAAGCCCCTCCACTTCTTGATTTAACGCCCCTGCCTGTTTCTCATGGGGATGCCAGCTTTCCTAGACCCTCTAAAAGAAGCAGATGAGGCTGGACATGGGTTTGATATCACGAGGTTCATTTCCTCACCTGGCAGAGCAAAATTTGCAGCCAGTAGAGAGTTAATTTCTGGCACAGCTGGGGCTGCTCTCACAGCTGACATGGAGCAACTGTGGGGTAATTTGCTGCTACTCTGTCCCTTGCTTGCAGGTGTCTGCCTGTCACAGCACCATCTGCCATCCGCAGCCACCATTGCTGCAGCCTCAGAGATCCCCTGCCACCTCCAAGCCACAGTGATTTTGCTTTGTTTCTCCCACAGGGGTTTTAGAGCAATTTGTGAAGTGCTTGGTTTTGTCCACCAAGAAGTAACCTTTATTTTTCTTTTCTTTTCTTTCCTTTTTTTTTCTTTGCTTTTTGCAAACAAGATCTGAACCCTTTATTTTTTTTGGAGTTTGTTTTGCATTTGGCTAAGCCTCAATATATCCTATGAAGAATAACTTACCTGACTGGTTTTCCAGCTGAAGAAAAATATCTTAATAGAAGCTTTCCACTTCTTGACCTGAGTTTTCTAGAAGCTACCTTCAGCCATAGGTCTGTGCGCTTGCCCTTTGTATCAACCTGTTGCTCCTGTCATGGTTTATTTGTTATTTTGCTGAGCCATCAGAAGTGGGTCCTTTTTTCTACAAATGGTTCTTTCAGAGAAGATTGTATTAGATGTCTCCTGGGAAGCCGTCTGTCCTGTCTCCACCTCCTAGGCTGCAGGCTTTGCAGTGCTTCAGGAAGGGACATGAGCTTAGAGCTGCCTTTTTTAGAGTCTTTTATAAGGGATCCTTTTATGCCCGGTCCCAGGTTCTGCAGCACACTGCTTTTATGCTTGTGCCTCCCTCACAAAACTGCTTCCTGACGATGTATCCTATTGAGATTTGGTGGATGTGTAAAGTGCACGAGTTGTCCTGCACCCACATACCCCCCCAAGACAGCCCCAGGACACGCAGTTCTGCATCTGCCCGCAGCATCCTCTGCAGGGCCACCAGCGAGGGAAGAGCCAAGGAGGTGGGATAAGATGCCCCACATGCACAGGGGTGTGTTGTACCCTGGTGCAACACCTGCGCCTTCATGGCTCTGACTTTGTTCACAAGCCCAGTAGTGCTGTGGTTTCCTGACTGAACAATCTGACTGAACAATCTGCCAGCCCTCAGCTCCTTCCAGACCACTGGGAAGAACAGGCCAAGTTCCCTGGAAGCCCTTTCCCTCTGCTTTCCAGCATGGTCCATGAGATGTTCCCTGGCTCCAGGCATTAATGAGCTCTTTGTGCACAGTGCATAAGCAAATGTAAGTCCTGGGCTTTGTCAGATTTTCTGATTGCACTGAGTGGATAAAGATGAACCTAGTGAATAGAGTTGAGTTTATACAATGGGAAAGGTGGCCAGATCTGTGTGCCTGCTGTTCTCTCCACAGCTGATGGTCTTCTGCCTGGAGATCCAGAGGTTAGTGACTACATCGAGGCCTTTGTCACCTCTGATGGATGCAGGGCAAAGACACCGTGGCAGAAGGGCCAGGTGGGAACCTCCACAGCTGTATGTTCCTGATCATGCCCTCTGTTTTGTCTTGTAGGCTAACGATTCATGCAGAGTGCCCCATGCACCTGGAGGACTTCCCAATGGATGTGCATGCTTGCCCACTGAAATTTGGGAGCTGTAAGTACCCTGACCAGCCTCTGCAAGGAGGTGGGTACAGAGCTAAAGAACAGTCCTTTGTGTGGCTAGTGTTTTCCAGTACTGTAGTGACTGTGTTATTAATTATTGCTAATGATAATGTGACTAAGAGTTTGTTTCTGGTATCTCATACATGCATTTCATACCATTGTCAGAAATGGGCAGCAAGCAAATCTGTGGTCAGTTCAAGCTCACAGGATTGGTTAGACACCTATGGGTTTGCTGTAAGTTTATTAAGGCAGTGGGAAGAGCAGCTTCCCATTGCCCTCCCTGCCTTCAGTGGGCAGTGCTACCTTTTCAGCCCTGCCTCAGCAGGACCGGCATTGGTAGAAAACTCAGAGATGCTTTTGCTGCATCATAAAGTGATCCTGGGGGGACAGATTTGGGAAGACAGCAGTGATGTCTAATACTAGGTGTCCTGTCCGGCTTCCCTACATCACTCCTTCCAACCTGGGCAGAGCCTGAAATCTCTGGTTGCTCTGGCTCCATTCTCCAATGGAACTTACAAACCCCTTGCTCCTCTTCAGTCTGTCAGGCAGGCTGCTGTCAAGTAAAAGGCTTGGAAACTCTGGGAATCTCAGTCCCAACACTCAAGAGTCTGGGTTTTGGGAAGATTTGCAGGCTGCTGGTGAGCTGAAAGCTGTTCCCCACCTCCCAGGCTTGCAGCTGCTCATTTGCCTGGGCTTTCCGTACCCTGCATAGGAACAAATTCCCTCTTCTGTCCCATATGAAAATTTCTTTTGGTTTTGTTCCTAAAGCGAGTAGGAACCAAATTCCAAGCCACTGGTTCACCATAACGTGGAAATAAATTTCCTAGTCCCACTCTGCCTAGAATTTCCTCCAGGTCCAACAAACTGAATACCACTCTCAGTCTATGTTTGTGTTAGATGGAAGAGTAGCCCACCTCCAACTAAAGAATGAACCCCCACCAGTAATCTCCCTTTGGACTCTAAGAAAACAGAGAAATCACAACCTTTCTAAACTGATACTTCTTTCCTGTAGCCATTTGGGAGTTATCTAAGAGAAAGTTGAAAAAGTTTGATTGACACCAGAAGAAATCATGTTTATCATGTGCATCTGCTCCTCTGCCTCATGACAAAATGCATCCATGAAACTCATTGCCACAAGACCTCACTAAGGCCAGCAAAATAGCAAGTCTTAGAGAAGGATGAACTATGAATGTTAATTGACCTTGTGAGGAGGGACATAAAATCTCATACCTCGGGCCTAAACTCTGGGATTATTACAAGACTTGCAGGAAGGCAGATTACTCCACATTTAATTGCTTATAATGTTTCTTGGTGAGGAAGAGAGATTAATGTGCATATTTCTGCTGGAACACCCTTTGGGGTTCTTCTGGGTATTTTTACTGATTTGGCATCTGAATGATGAGAGTTTTGACACAAGCAGCTCAGAGAGCTGCCCCTGATTAACATTAGCATGGCTCTTTCTAAAGCAGCCATCTGCATAGTATCTGAGCTCACCTCTCCTGTGCTGGAGTAGGATTAAACTAGCGTTTGCACCAAAAAGCCATCAACAGCTGGAAGCTGCTCATTTGCAAGAAGCTTAGAGTGAGTCAGATTTTTAAGTATGGCAATGTTAAGGTCAGACACACGCTGTTCAAAGGATAGCTGAATTTGCCTCAGTGACCACCTTCCAGTGATCCCCACAACCTGAATGGCTCATCAGTGGCCTCCTGTCCCTGTGCCACCATGGCAGCCACCCAAAGAGGGAAGGCATAGAGCTTGCAGGAGAAGTAACGGCATCAGGCATTTCAGATAGCTTCAACTGCCCACCTATGTCATTTCTTGGACAAAGTGCAGTGAAGGTGATGGCTTTACCTATCACCATGCTCCCTAGAAGATGGACATACGCAGCAGAGAAGTGTTTCTAAGCCAGTCATAGGACATTTGTACAGCAGCTGTCTGAGACTAGGCTAGCAGAAGATGTTGCTGAAGTTACCAGTTCCACTAAATGTCAAAGAGCTGTCCTTGTTTGGATTGGACTAGACTGCATTGCAAACAAGGCATTGAGCAGAACCAAAACAGCTTCATGGCATATGTTCTAAGCATCCACGTCATGCCTATGTAACACCAGATACGCTTCTGTCCCAGGTGACCAGATATGTAGACAACCGCATTTTCAGGGATGATGGTAATGAAACTGTGGGCAAGTTTCCTTTGTAGACCGAGTGGCAGTGGGTGAACCATGGCTGCTAGAGCAGAAGGTGCTTCCCTTCAAGGCGGCAGAGCATTGGCAGAGCTGTACAAAGCTAAGCCTGAAGGAGGATGGAGGTCTCCAGAAGCATGTTGAGAGGTGGAAGGAGGGGTTGGAAAAGCAGAGTGTTTCACATTGGATGAGAGGTGCCAGCCTTCATCAGAAGTGCTTAGGCAGCACGCTGGTGTGCTGAGAAATGTTGACTGATCATCAAAATGATTCCCCCCACTTTGCATAGTGCCTGCTTAGTATGTAACAGGTTTGCCAAAACCTACGGTGCAGGGATAACAGTGATTGTTTTAAAAAGATCAGAGAAATCTGGTTGTCTCAGGACACAATCTTCCACAAAGCAGGAGCTGAGACAGTTCTGTAGTAGACCTGACCCATTGCTTGACCTGACCCCAGCCAAAGAATTCCTTAATGTCTTAATAGGAGAAGCTGGTGGTAAAAATTAATTAAAAACTTGTTTTAGTAAAGTTCATTCTTTCCTAAAAAACTGGTGCAGAGTGTGTGTGGACAGGAATATTGGACATTATGGGGAGAAGTATCTCCTAGTAGAGTCTGAAGAGACTCAATTTCTGGATACCATAGGACTGGCAAAACCAAGAGCATGCAGGTGCTGTTGGCAAAGGGAATGGCTGAGGACAAGGAGGGCTTTGGTCACAAAGGCTTGTGAAAGTGATGGTGACTGTGTGTGTTAGAGAGGTGTTTGCATATAAGGAGTTGGGTAGGTGGGATAGAGAGGGGGACTTGCAAGCCCCTGGAAGGATGCCCTACTCTGAGCTCTGTGCTACCCCATGCCACAGTCCAGTGGCACTTGCCTGCTGTTTCTCTCACAATGTGTGGGCAGGCTTTTCTCTCTCTGCCTGGTGGATTGGCCTGGAGGCTAGCAAACACAGGATCATGCAGGGAGAAAAGCATCTTGGTGGGAGGGCACCAAAGCTGAGAGGCTTGGAGAGAGTTGGTTCTGAGTGAGGGTAAAGATTTTTAACCTCTTCTCCATAACCTAAAATTCAACCCCATTTGCGTTTAGCCTTTCTCACCAGCTGCTGCCAGCATGACTCTCCCGGTCCCTGGCATGGCAGGGTTGTGGCCATCCTGCTGCCCTAGCAGCCTGCTGGTCTGGACACCTTCCTATCTTGTCTCTGCTTGGAGCCAGCCCTTGCAGTGTCAGCACGTCAAGGGGACAGTGTGTGTCTCAACAACAGTGCTCTGCCCCCTCTTCCAGCTCCCTTCTGAAAACCCCAGCTCCATTTGCTCATTTGATTTAACAGTTGCTGAACTGCCTTGGTCTCTGGCCATGCTTGGCTGTGCTCAGCCATGTGGCTCTGAGGAATGCACAGCAGGGATCAATTTGGCTAGAGGCTAATTTTGGTATATTTTAGGTCAGGCAGAAGCACAAACCTCATTCTTCTTTCTCCTCCACAGATGCCTACACAAAGACGGAAGTGATCTACACCTGGACACTAGGGAAGGATAAATCAGTGGAAGTAGCGAAGGGTGGATCTCGCCTGAACCAGTATGACCTGCTCGGCCATGTTGTTGGGACAGAAATGGTTCGATCCAGCACAGGTACTTGTGGGACCATGATGTGATGCATGGGCTGAGCACCACTGTCAGACGAGATGGACTCATGGGCTTTGAATGCCACAGTCTGACATAATTATAGAGGCGGTACCTGTGGGCAGTGAGCACCACAGTACTTCCCGAGCCACGTGTTGTTGGAGAGTATGTCTGGGAACATCTGGGAGCAGTCACCAAGGCAGTAAAGGGTTTAGCTTTTAGTGGTTTCCACTGAAAGAGCCTTATCGCCCATACCCTCTAGAAAACTAATTTCAGGCATCTAAAAATGATCTATTTTGTGGAAAATTTGCCCCACCTTGCCCAGATGGTTCTTGGTAATGTGGGTTCATTTGTCTTGGATCCCTTTCTAGTCCCTCAGGAGAGCATTGCGGGCAGGGGAGGCGAATGCAGCATGATGTTGAGTGTGATTTTCACTGCATCTGCTTACACAAATATTATCATAGCTAATAGAAGATTACCCCAAACAAATGTTTCCTCTGATTAATGACCAATATTAACCATCTTTCTCTCCCATCTGCTGTTCCTCCCTTCCCCTCTGAATACAGGTACTGATAGCTTCTGTTATCTCATGTCTGTCTCTCTTCTTTCTTTTTTTTTCCTTTTCTTTTTTTTTCTTCTGTATGCACCAGTAGTTCTCTCATTTGAGGATATTTCCCCTCTGGTGCACTTGATTTTAATAGTGTCTGTCTGTAACAACTCATATCACCTCCCTTGGGGAAATGTGGGGAGTCCAGGGAACTAAATGTCATAATATCTGGCCCATCTCTCTACTTAAGTTGTAGTAAAATGTACAGATGAATAATCTGAAGTGGCAAGAAAGCTGCTAAAGGCTCCTGTGTGTAATGATTTAGCAGAGCCACACTCACAACAAAAAGGCACAATAATCCAGCAAAATACCCAAAGCTTTGAGAAGAGGAATAGGGCATTGAGGGAAAGTAGGGACAGCTGCTTCTTTGGTTTACAGCCCAGACCTTTAATGACAGAACTTGCCCTGATTTTTGAGATGGTTACAGTGAGGAAAAGTGGAATATTTTCAGGATTGTCAGAGAAAATAAAATCCTTTGTCCTGAAAACCTACTGAAGCAATGTTAGGGTCTCTCTAGGCTTAAGGGATTTTACCCACAATGTGGCTCCCTAGGCTGGAGCAGAAAAGAGATGAGAGCTGGGTCAGGAGAGACCCCCCAGGGGCATCTTGTGCTTAGGGTGAAACAGGGAAAGCTTATTGCCCGGTTGTTTATTGGCATTGATTTGCTTTTGTCCCACAACCACTTTTTAGTGAACTAAAGAAGTCTGGAGAGAAGTGTTTTGAAAAGACAAATGCTATGTGGAAGTCACCCAGGCTACAGTGGGACACATGCCTGGCATGGCACAGCAGTTGTATGTGTGCAGTACATTCAAAGTCAGTGCTGACAGTGTGCTGCAGCATGCATCCCTCCATTGCATGGCTGTCAGGATGACCTGGAGTACTGTAAGCAACCAGGGCATGCCAGCCAGTTACAATATGACACACATGCTGCGATTCCATCTAAAACCTTGAAAGTTTGTTCAGGACAGATCTTGAGTGGTTTAAAGATGGATTAGTGGTCCATCCTGGAAAGCACCGGTGGCTTAGCATCTCTAACCAGCTGTCTCTGCAGGGGAGTATGTCGTCATGACCACACACTTCCACCTCAAGAGGAAGATCGGGTACTTTGTGATCCAGACCTACCTACCCTGCATTATGACGGTCATCTTGTCCCAGGTCTCCTTCTGGCTTAACAGGGAGTCCGTTCCTGCTAGAACGGTTTTTGGTGAGTCTGGGAGCACGGGGGCATTCTCTCAGGTTGGGAAAAAAAGGCACCATAAATGACGGGAAATAGACTGAGCATCAGAGCTGGTCTTCTCCAGGCCTTGACCAGCATCAGTGAAGCTTCTGGCCATTTCCCAGAATAGCTCTCAGTGTCTTCCCAGTGCCCCTGTTTCCAGTGAATCACTACAAAAATACTCCTGTCCATGTTTGTGCATCAAGCCAAGCCATAAATGTTAACAGTAATGAAGGTATTGATCATCTAATTATATGCATTTGGCTCTGTCTGCTTATCTATATTGGCTTTTGGGTTAAGGAGAGGATAGGTACATGGGGAGGCATTTAAAGCTCTACCTTTGAAATTGCTAATGTGCCCCTGGTCAGAACTCCACATAAGTTCCTGGGCTGAGGCAGTATAACTGCATGGTAAATATATGTTTTGTATTTTCTTTATCTGGTTTCAGATCCTCTCTTTGAGGCGAAGTGTCAGGCTGGCATTGCACATATATTAATAGCTTTTACAAACGTTTAATAACAGAATTGCTTTGTGCTTTCCTGCCAATACCTTCAGTTCAGGATTTACACACACACACTCACAGACCAGGTGTGATGCTGCAGGATTGTGTTTCCCGGAAATGACAGTGCCCAGTAGATACCATTTAACAGAGAGTATATTGGACAAAAGTCACCAAGAAGAGAGGAGATATATGGTACCACCTGCTTGTGGTTTTGAATAAGACACAAAGTGATGTGGTTTCAAAGATCATGAAGCATTTTCTCTGTAGCAAGAGTCATGATAGAAATACTCCCACAAACCCAACAAGGCTGATTTCCTCCTTTCCAGACTCTCCACAGGCCCGGACCTTGTTCCAGTGCTGTGGACTGGAATGAGATGCAGGGAGGGTCACAGGTGGTTTTGCACCCTCCTAAAAGAACTAGAAGGGTATCATCATGGGTTTTGTGTTCACTGGGGCTTGTGAAATGTAGGTCATGAACAAGTTTTAAAATTTACAGTTGACCCCAGCTTCTCCCCATTAGCACCGGATTGCCTTCCCTTCCCTGTGAGGCGAATTCTACAGCAATCCCCAAGGTGGAGTGCAGCTGGGCAGTTAGTTTGGCCAGACTGGTTTGCATGATCTGAACTGCAAGAACTGTGTTTAACAGTGATAACAGGGGAAAAGAGGGGGTATGGCCCCTTAGCACCCACTTTTTGGTATTTTCATCCAACAGAATGGAAAAGGGGGGGGCTCAGACAGAAATCATGTGGAAAAATAGGACCAAGTCAGGCATATAGAGAGTCATCGATGAACGTTTCTCACTCACCTGTGAATCATTTGCAACTAAACCCCACAGAGTGCACACCCAGACCCCATGTCCTTCTGTGCCCCAGGTGGGCTCTTACATCTGCATCAGTTCTGGAGTATCTCTGCACTCCTGACACTAGGGTGAGCCCTTCTCTGAGGATATTTAATTCCCTTCTATGTTATCCTGAGATTTTCAGTTAGTCAGGTTTCCTTGAGTAGCAGCTCAGATTGAGCAGGAAAGAGCTGACTGAAAAATTAAAACCTACCTTTGTGAAAAATGTCTTTGCTCCCAAATTGCCTTGCTTTCCTATTAAGAAAATAATGAGAACTCCAATTGTTTATTCCTTTTTTTTTTTGCCCTTCAGAAATTATTGTCAACAATATTATTGAAACTCTTCAATTACCAGGAGTATGGCTTAAGGGAAGTGAAAATTTGTCAATATTTTTATAAAGTTCTTAATGCATTTTTAATTGAAGAGCACATTATTGGGGAAAATGGATAGCAATGGTTGCTTGCTTTAATGAAAAAAGCTTTAAAAGGCATTTTTCAACAGGTCGGGGTTTTTTAAGATCATTGTGACACTCATTCTGGCAGCTTGGGTCACTGACAGGTGCCTGGCCATGCCAGCAGGCCCCAGGATCCCAGGTGTCCATCCATGGAGGTCACAGGACACTATTTCTAAAATGTTGAGAACCATATTGCATGAGTGGCCAGTTTCTGGTCCTCATGAAGTTCCCAACCATCTAGCTGTCCTTTTTACTGTTATTTTTTTCTTTCATTGCAAAAGCAACCAGAGGCTTCTCCAAGGCTTATGCTATAAGGGAGCTGGGTCATCATGCAACTTACCCTACTAGCAGATGAGGAATTGAACACAGGTGCCTACCTATGCCTACTCTTTTATAGTGAGCAGAAATCTAGTCAATGGAGTTTGGGGAAGATTAATCTAATCTGAATGCAGATGTTTGCCATTGATTATATGAATTGGAGATATTCAAAACTAAACCAGAGAAGGCCCTGAGCAACCTGAAGTTGGCCCTGATTCAAACAGGGGTTGGACAAACTGACTTTCCTTCCAGCCTGGACTGTTTTGTTATTCTATGCATTGCACCACAGACTTGTGCTGGGTAAGGCTTCCTTAATTACAGCAGGAGTGTGGGCAACATGGCTTAGAGGATGGCTCCTAAATTTACATGATGGAAATGCCAGCTGTGTGGTTTGAGGAAAATCTGGGTGAGTATTAGTGTATGGTCTCACACCATCCTTGTCTCCTGCTGTTTCCACAGGTGTCACCACCGTCCTCACCATGACCACACTAAGCATCAGCGCAAGAAACTCGTTACCTAAAGTGGCGTACGCGACGGCCATGGACTGGTTCATAGCCGTCTGTTACGCCTTTGTGTTTTCTGCGCTGATTGAATTTGCCACTGTCAACTACTTCACCAAGCGCAGCTGGGCTTGGGATGGCAAAAAGGTGCTGGAGGCCCAAGAGATGAAGGTCAGCCCTGTGGCCAAGGTCGGGGAGGAGGGGGCAGTGAAGAAACGCTGCACAAGAGAGCTGCACTGGGGCCAGTAGTGGGTAACATGCAGCCCATCAGCACTCCAGGAGGCTGGATGCTACTTACTGGGTCCACAGCTCAGGTCTCAACTGGAGCGGTTCTTGAGGGTCGAGGGCGGGAAGGGCTTGGAGGGCTGGTCGCTGTGCTTAGCTGTAGAAGAACACCCAGGCATGACTGCTCGCTTTTCCGTCTGTCTTTCTGCATGACTGTTTGGTGGTGGAAACATGAATGCGTGCATGTTTTGGTCTTGCTCCACCAGTGGTCTCCCCTCTCCTTTCTTCTCCCTCCGACCCATAAATGCCCTGGTCCGTGCTGGTAGCATGCCACCCGAACCCAAATGTGCCATGGGTTGCCAGCCTTGCCAATGGAAATGGTCCCACTCTGCTGTGTCCCCTGTGGCTGCTATCCCCGACGGTAGGTCTCCCCCAGCATGGGCAAGCATGGTGCAATGACGAGGAGGTCTCTAACATTCATGCTGTTGCCCACAGCTGCCAGCAGCTGCTTGCTTTGTAAGCTCAGGCAAAGAGGGTGGGTGGGAAGCAAGCAAGCAGAAACAGCAACTGGCAGTAAATTAGTGCCTGCAATCACCCACATTTTCCCTTCTCGCTTGGGATCACCCTCTCTGGCAGTTTCCTTCCTGCAGCCACCACTACCCGTGCTCATGCCCCCTCCCTCCTAAGTGATTTAATCTCAGCTGCACAGAGAAATTGCTTACTGTAGCATGCTTGTTTATATTTATTGAATCAATTTGAAAATCAGCTTTGTCCTTGTTCTTGGTTCTGGAGCCTTTATATTTTTCTCCTTTGTATTTTAATGTGTTGTTTAAAATTGTTGTGGAACTGTATGCAAATACCTGCTAGAATTGCTGTAACTTTGGGGAAGACAAAAGCGAGTCATCTCTCTGGTATGGAGGTCAAAGCAGGAGAACCGAGACTTCGTGGAGAACTAGAGCCATCACTGGGTGTTGAATGCCTCTCTCTTGTGTTTCTTGGACTCTCTCATCTGTTTGCTTTTGCAGCTGTGGTCTGAGCAACAGACTCATGGCAGAAAGACTCCAGAGGAGGCCAGTTGATGGTCTTCACTTCTTTTGTGAACAGTAACGCTAATCTGGCCTCTAGAGATGAGAGAAGCCTTTCCTGGGTCATTGGCATGAGCGAAGGATCAGAACAGGTCCTCAAAGCAACCATGTCCCTTTCAGACATGGGCAAATCAGCACAAAGTCAGGATTCACACAGCCTCGAGCAATTATGTGAACTAGGCACAGTCAAAAAAGCAGCAAAGGCTCAAAAGCAGCATACTCCTCAATTTATGCATTGACCCAGCACTGCAAGACTAACAGTGCTGAAACGATAGGATAAGAGCATGCAGAATGTTCGCGCACATGGTAATCAAACAAGAGAACAAAGCAAGACCAGGAATGTTTCAGTGGGAGCGCTCTTTGTGAGTTTGCTGCAATTGGTATCAGGCTGGAGAACTGAGAAGGACTCCACATTTGTGGATGTTTTTTTCAAACTAACCCTCATCTTTATCTTAGAAGGCTAACCCGCTCCCAGTCTCTGCAGCTCAGAGAGCTCCCTGAAGAGTGCTGAGCTTTTAGGGAGCTTGGGAATACAATGTGTCACCATATTTCCTTTTCATCTTTATTCCATTGAATATTTCCAAGCAGTGAATTTGCTACGCAATGAAGGTGCCTCATTGGCTCAGTTTCAGCCTTTAATTAGGCTGAAACAATTGACAAGCCATGTGGTTGAAACTACAAAAGAAAGAGGAGGCAGAAGAATAACTATTGGCATTTTATAGTGTTTGTACCAGGAATAAAACTACCAGTGACAAGCCCAGGCTGAGCCCTGGTCTCTGGAGAGCCTTCTCTCTCAGCCAAAAAAAATGCTCTTTATTGATGTGATGGCAAGTATCCTCATTCCAGGTTTGATTGTTTCCTTGCATGAAGATGAAAAAAAAAAAATCAATAACCATCAGCCCTTTCCTCACCTCAAGTGTAGGCAGCAGCAATGCTTCCCATCCCGTTTGAAATAAATCACTACCTTGCAAGAGCTGCTGGTTGCTGACAGGCACTCCCAGCGTGTTAACTCTCTCAGGGCTGGTTCCATTCTTTCTTTCTCCCTTTCAGCCAACCCATCAGTTTAGATGGGAACAGAGCATTTTTTTCAGGTAGAATCTAACATGATGGGCTGATCTTGGTGAATTGCTGTTCTCTGCATCAAAAATGATCACAATGATATCCTGGCTATAGCAGCAGTTGGGTTCTAGTTCTAGCTAAGAGGTACTCTGCACATTCTCTGGAGTTCTCCTCTAATGAAAGGCAGGCAGATATCACCATAGATGTCACCTAAAACTCCCTTTAGTGTGCATTCTGATAAGATTTGACTAATGTTCCATGGACCCAAAGATTATCCAAGCCTTTCTTGCCTGCCACCAGTAATCACTAATTGTGGATGAAGGATTTCCTCTCTTTTTGTATGGCAGAGTGGCTGCAACCAACCTAGAGGTGCAGATCAAATTGGAGAGAGGTATCTGGATTGAATGTGGAAAGCTTTTTAGTAAAGGTGATTTTTAAAAAGACATCATCAGGAGGAAGTAGGGAGATGGCAGTAGTTGGGGAGGAATGAGAGGCCAAAGAGATTGAGAGATGAGTGGTTTCAGTAGCAAGCAAAGCTTGCTATCTCCAGTATCCTCAAAATATCTTATTAAAAGGATCCACTTCAGGACAGAAGGGCTGTGTCTGAACAGAGATCCATCCATCCCATCCATCCCAAGCACAGGGATGGCCATCACTGGAGCCCACAAAGTCACTTCCTGAGTGGCTGTTACAGTGAGGATCCAGAGAGACAGCTATTAATGGTGACTTTGCCACTGGGAAACTCATGAAGTCTGCATTTACCAGGGAGTTCCCTGCAAAAAAAGTGTTGACTGTGCCTCAGGATGGAAGATGCTTTGGATCTTTGGAAGACACTTACTTAAACCCATTTCTGTCTGCAACACCACGTCTATGCATAAAATCTGATTTAGCTCTGCGTGACATTGTACTTGTGTGACATTGCACTTATGTGACATTGCCTTGAAATCCTGGGTGGCAAAAAGCAACAAAAACAATACAAGTAGCTGCAGTCAGACACATGAAAACAAGGGAGAACACACTTTGGCTGGAGGAATAGTTCTGGAGCTTTATCCTTGTCACCCTTAAGACAATAATCCTGTAGTGCAGGGTGAGAAGGTTAGGTCTGGGCTTTTTACGTACTTTTCACATGTCTTTTCACTAAGAGAAAGTCACCAAAAAGCATCTTCCAAAACCTCTCTGTTGATACGATCATCATGGTTTTCTTTTCGGAAGAGACAGGCATGCTTGCCATTTGTACTAGGTGCCTTTTCCACTGACTGAGTAAAGCCTAACTTTTTGTCCAGCCCACTCTTCAGCAATTCTGAAGTTTGCCCCTTGATCCAGGTCACTTGGGAATCATTCTTCTTCCTCCTTTGTTTCTTTCCATTTGTGGCATCTGTGTTTCAATCCCCTCCTTGACAATAGAGAGGAACTAGAACCAACCTTGACAGGCCACCATTTTCAGCCAGTTTGAAGTCTTACAGACTCACGGGGTGGTTCTAACCCATCTCTTTTTTTTTTTCTGTCTCACTGTAGTAAAGATGTTTTTGCTGGGACTTTCCCTTCCTGACTATGCTCTGCAGTCCATGTGTCCTTTGTCCTACTGCACTGGCAATCACTTGTAGCTCTCCATAGCAATGCAAGTGATTTTTGTTCTCAGCATCTTCACTAGAGTCCATTCTTCAACATGTCACACTCTTTTTCTCAACACTACCTGCGTGGTGTGTTGGGCTAATTATTGACTCCAGCCAACCTCTGAGTCTTTGGTGATCCAGGGAGCATAAGATCATTGGGCTCAGTCCCACATAATCTGAATGAAGACATGGGAGAGATGAGTGATGTGAAAGGTTACACCAGCAGCTGACAGTAACCTGGCATTGACATAGCCTGCTTGTAATGCAAGATTGCATTGTTTGGAGCCTTTGGCTCTGCTCAGGGTACAGGCATCTCAGTGTAAAATACTTTGCTGCTATTCTCTGATAGGATCAAGTCTCTGGCACACTGCAGAGGGGAACTTTGGCTGGCATGAGGAAGAAGTGACATGTTTGCTGGACCAGCAAACTGCAGTTGCTGGGCTTTGAATTACAGGATACGAGCATGTCAGAGACTAGAGCTGCTTGGAGGTCATTAAAGTGACTTTTCTCTAGAATGGCAAGTGGCAGATAGCTTGCACTTCTCAACTACTGCAGATATTAGTGATGGTGACCTTTAGAGTGGCCTGTCAGAGGGCTAGTGCTTCCAACCCAAATTTCTGGCCAAGGAGTAGGTGCAGAGAACTAAATCTCCAGCAGATCATAGGCAGAATCGGTAGTTCCCATAATTTAGAGGTTCATCCATTAGCGCCTCAACAGAGAGGCTTGAAGACAAGAAGATTTAACAAAAAAGCTATTATTTTCCAGTATGTGTGTTGCGGAAGAACTTGTCAGACTGCAATATCCAGGGAACATAGTTATCTCTAGACCAGCTTTCACAGCTTTTCCTCAGGAGAGCAGTGCAGGGACAGCTTTGTGCAGTGGTTCCCTGTGCCCATACTGGGCCATAAACACAGGAATTGTTTTTGCAACATAGATGTTTGAAATAAGACAAGTTTTCAAAGGTAATGTGGGATTTCCTTCTGTTACTCTTTCCTTCTGATTCAGTAGGACATGGAACCCCTCACAGATAAAGGTGCAGGGAAAAGGCTGGTGACTACTTGGCAGCTGACAGCAATAAGCACATTTTGTTTTGTCTGGTTGTCAAAATCTTGCCTGAAACACTTATTTATAAAGCACAGCCCAGTAAACTTAAGGCTGAACCATTTCCTCTAACATCTTGGGAGCAGGGCACATCCAGAGCATACGCATGTGCCTTGGTGTAGGCACCATGTGCTCTGGGAGCTTCCCACAGGCTACCCAGGCCCCCAGCTCTGACCAGGGCAGAAGACTCCATAGGAAGTTGGCAAAAGGCCCTGGCTGTAGGCTCCCAAGCACTCCTCTGCACTCCTGAACAGCCTGATCTGAGGTCCAGAGAAGCTCAAGCTGATGTTTGGGGACTCTGTATGACGCTAATACAAGCAGTAGCTTGCTATAACCAGCCACAGCATTCATATTTTCCTGACTTTACTCTGTTTCAGCCTGCTGTTGCCTTTGCAGGCAAAACGGATCCACTTTCTAAGCTCTGGGGCAGAAAAGCTAGCCAGGTTGGAAATGTCATGTCACTTGTAGTTATCTTACTCCTGTAACAAGTAACATGGCTGATTAATACTAAAATAATCACAGTGCACTTCAAATTACATTCTGCGAGCAACAATCTGTTTTTCATTTCATTACTGATTATTAATTATTTTATTACCTCCTGTAGCTGTGTTAATAAGTAATCATACTTAAGCATATTTAAATGTTTTAGAAGGTGAAACAGCCCTTTATTTGCTTCTTGTCAGCTTTTTAGCAGGAAGAGTTCACCTGCTGTGCAGGAGGTACAAGTTAACGTGGCTCTAATGATGCGCTCAGTCGTTAAAGATCATAATACCCTCTCCCATAAAAGACTACGAATATGGTCTGATCAGTGGTTTAGTCTGATCTGGAGTCTGAAGACATTTAGACCTCCTTCTAACAGCAAGTTAATTTCTGTAATTGCTGGCATTATTACGAGGCTGCAGGCCTGGCTATGATGTTATTGGAGAAGGGTTTAAAAATTGCACAGAAGTCTGCTTTTAGTGTCCCTCTGAAAATCACTGTGGAAAATTCATTTCCTAAGGTAACCAGAAATATCCATGGTGATTGTGGAGGCATTTAAAATGGAAGTACAGCATGAAAGCTATAGCCCTTGGAGTATCTCTGCAGAGCAGACTGGGCAAATCTGGCCTTTCCAACTCCCAGTGCTACCCAGCTATGCTGCTTGCTACCAATTCCCAGGCCAGGGTGGGGAGATGAACAGGTCCTGCTGGCTGCACGCTCTCCCCTTCTCCTGACAATCACTTTGTACATGGTTCCCTCACATGTAATTCAAGATCATGCCAAGCACCCCTGGGAAATGCCTGGATAAGGCTTATCTTGTGTTTCAGTTGCTTTTGAATAGAAAATGGGATCAAAAGTCACACTTTGTTCTGAGTTTAGATATTAGATTCCCACCATGAGTCATTGCTGTGTCTAATGCTAGCTCTCGGTGTAGTTACAGTGGACACCGCACAGAGTACGTGAGTGCTGGGATGTGTAGTGTGCCTGATGTCTGCATATAAATAGATTTCATTCCATGGGTTTCTTGTGGTAGACCTGGATTGCTTTATATGATACAGTCTACGGTGCAGCTGGTCTCAGGTCCCTGACAGCAACAGGAAGATCCCCAGAGCAGGGGCAATGCCTATAATGACTTCCTAGCTCTGTCTTCCTGTCCAGTCATCTTCATCTACATCTGAACTGTCTGTCTTCAGCATCTTCCATCATCCTTCACTGCATCATGTCTGATACTTAAGTGCCTCTTTTTCCATTTGCTATGCAAGCTCTCCTCCTTTCAGTATGGACAGCATGGCTGTCTCTCGAGTCTTGTGGGAGGAGTGAACTTAACTCCCTTGATTTGCAGCAACCCTTAGATATGAAGGCAAGATGAAAGGCTTCCCTCTGCCCTACAGTGCCATGTTGAGCAATCCCAAAATCCAGGGCTAGTGCAAATGCCTTCCATCTGTTCTGTATCTTACCTGGGTAGGTCATGAGGTCCTCTAAAGGGTCCCAGAGGCATTTTGGACATCATGGTGTTAAATTGTGAGGTATTCCTGTGAGGGGCACTGATGGTATGATACAGTCTTGTAATATGGTGCAAAAATATTGTGATGCTGTCATCCATATTCTTAAAGCCATGGGTATTCTGCTAAAAAAAAAAAAAAAAATAAATTTTAATCCTGTGTGATGTCTCCTCCTCTCACCTGACCCAGGAAGCAGGCCAGCAAAGCAGAAAATCAAGTTCTTCCCCCAAGATGACCACATGGGGTGTCATTCTTTTCTAAAGACTACGTTCCCGCATCATCGCTCCATGGCTGAATCATACATGCAACAGAAAACACTGCCCAGTTGAGAGAGAAAACAAGGACTCTGTATAGTTTGAGCCTGCATTCACTCATACTGACCTGGCAATACACAACATAGACGTGGCAGCACTCTGCCAATCAAGGAGTCACCCGTCTGGGGCAGCTACTGCTCAAGTGCAGCTGCACACACCTTTTTATACCACTCCTCTGACCTAAGGGGCTGCAAGGAAGCTACAAACCCAGCTATGTGGCTTCAGTTATTTGACTTGGAGTAGGACCTAGCTGCAAGGCCAGGACCTCTTTGTGCTACGTGCTGCATGCCAGGCTTACACATAGTAGCTGACCCACCCTAGTCCCACATGCCCTTATGCCCTAGCAGCCCTCAAGTGGCAGATGTCATGGGTTCTGGCCATCTTCTCACCACATCTTCCTTCCCTTCCACAATGTCTTCTTCTTGGTCTCTTGCTCCTTACACCCTTTTCCATCTTCTCATCTGAGCAAGCAGGTAAACTCAAAGGACAAAATGTTCTCCATGCAATTCTACGGTTACTTCATCTCTATTGTGTTTTTTCCTTCCACCTTCCCTAGAAAAAAGAGCCAGTGGCACTAGCGAAGAAAACCAACAACACCTACAACATTGTTGGCACCACATATGCCCTCAACATTGCCAAGGACCCCGGCCTGCCCACCATCTCAAAGAGTGCTGCTGCCACTGCTACTGCCACCACCGTCCCCTCCAAGATTCCCCGCATAGAGGAGAAGCTCCCAGAGAGTAAGAAGACATACAACAGCGTCAGCAAGGTAGACAAGATGTCCCGCATCATCTTTCCAGTCCTCTTTGCCATTTTCAACTTAGTCTACTGGGCCACGTACGTAAATCGGGAGTCAGCTATCAAGGGAATGATCCCCAAACAATAAAACCGGTCACACAAACGTTCCATCAGTAAGCACCATCCAGGCAGGAATTCTCCAGGGTTTTCTTCTTTCCTGTTTTAATTATTATTGTTCATTTGATATTATTAGTAGTAGTAGTATTAGATCGTTCTTTTGTAATGTAAACAAAACTGAGATTTTAATTTAATCCCATATACTTTAGTTTCATTTTACTTTGGTGACGAAAGGAAAAAAAAAGGATCATAACAAGTTGTGCCTCTAACTTCGTGAGTCTGATATCCCCCTTCTGTCCAAGTCACCCTGTGCTTCCATCTCTCCTCCTCCTGCCATTCCCATGGTCTGCATGCCACTGCCATCCCATTCTTCACTCTGCTAGGGGCTGCTACTGTGGTCTGCCCCGCCTTGTCCTCTTCTGTGATGTACTGCCCTAGCATTGTGGATGCTCCTGGTAGGCTGTGCTCAAGGATGTGGAGGCCTCCAGAGTCATTTAGCTGGTCCACTCTTCAGTGCCTGGCACTTTATGCTAGGTGGTACTCCCCAGGCTGTAGATGCAAGTGAACTGGCCCATTGAGAGAGCAGTGCAGCATGGGACAGCTTGTAGCCCAATGTCTGCTGGGGGTGAACCCACCACTGCTGTGGTCAGTGAAGCCATTGCTGGGGTGGAACAGGGTGGCTGCATCTCATAGGTGTCCACATCTACAAGGCCTTCTTCCTCTCTGTCTTCACCAAACCAAGCTGCTGGTTTCCTCCATGTCTCTCCCCAGACAAGAGCAGGTGAGAAATGTCTTGTCTGTCTGCCATCCTGCACTGTTGGGGCAATTCATGTCAGAGGGTGGGGTGGTTCCTACTGAGAAATAATTTTTTTCAGGGTCAGTCAGGAACTCAGGAAAGGAGCTTTATAATGCCTTGGAGGAGATAGTGCCTGTGAGGCCACGTGCATGCAGCATCAGGACTGAAAGCCATAGAGTTTGTGTTCAGATGGGTGGTTTATCATTTTCTCTTGGCCCCATCCACTTATACTTCTTGGCATCTCCTCTCTGTCCCATCCCCTTCATCCAGCTCCCCATTCATCTTCCTTTGGTTACTCGTCAGCCCTCAATAGTATCTCACTGCTCGTGGGTGGATTTAGGCAGAGAAGTCCTTGCTTCTCAGGTAAGCCACACTGACGGGGAGGAGCAGAGCCTCGGGAAGTCCAGCTCATGGTGCATCTCTGCACCAGTGCACCAGAGCAGCAGCGATGTTGGTTTGGGCCAGCTCAGGTGCAGGCTGTTTCCCATAGGACACACCAGGGTCCACTCTGCCACCTGTGGGGGTGGGTCAGGGGACAGTCGGTCCCCAAGTACCTCTCTGCTCCTGGTGAACAGATGCAGCTGAGCATCCTCAGCACCAAGGGAGAACAGAAGAAGGGGATCTTTGAAACAGCAGGGTAATACTGCTGTCCCAAAGAGCCTTGTGAGCCAGGTGCCATCCCACAAAGTCACTGAGATAAGATCCAACTCTGACACCTGCACACTCTTCCAAGGAAAGCCCTCCAGTGCCTTGAAGACAGGCTTTTTCTCCCTTCCCGGCCACCACAGTCAAGGACCCAAACCAGTGGTTGTCCCCTTCCCAGCAGCAGCATGATGTAGTGGCGTTCAAGCCATTTGTCCTCCCTCCCTGGTGCCTGGACCCATGGACACACTGTCCTGCTACGAGGAAGGACATCCTGTGCCTGGTGAGTTCTCGTCCCCAGCTTGTGGAAAGCCCTGATCCTGTCAGCAGCCCTGTTCCCAGGGTGGGATGCACCCCATCTTTCCTAGGCTTCTCTCTGACCCTCTGGCTGCCCCACTGAGCTGTCCCCAGCATGCTTCAGGTGCATGCAGCCAGGCTGAGGCTCCAGCACCCCCACGGTGATGTCTTCAGCATTGCTTTGAGCCACTGTGCCAAGCTCAGTTTCCCCCTGCCTGTGCAGGAGCGGGGCTGAGCACAATGCACAAGATTTGCCCCACCTGGAATATCCATGGGGATGGCAGGACGGAGCAGGAAAGGCCAGGGGCAACCATGGATGGCATTGGTGTGTGTCCTGCCCGTCCCTTACCAACCTCGCTGGCTCAACAGCAGTGCAGTCGCTCCCCCTGCCTACAGCTGCAGTGAGGAGAGGAGCTCGGACTCAGCCCCACTGTGTTCAGTCCATGAGCACATCCACACTAGCAGGCAGCATCAGGCAAGAGGGGTCAACGCCCCCCCCAAGCCTATGCTGAGGAAACCAGCTGTCTTCCCATCCTCCCCCACAGCATCCGAACCCCAAACCGCCCATGAAATTTCTACAGTGCCTTTCATCCCCAAGGGCTTCCCGCTGGGTGGTGAGGAGGGGAAGGCCTGGGAGCTCTCCCCCTTTGCACCCAGCATGGGGTTGGAGGAGCAGAGGAAGGGTGCCCTTCCGCGGGCAGGGGGCACATCCCAGCTGCTTTTGCACACGGGGCATCCGATTCCTCCTGGCACTGGCCTCCTGCTGCAGCCACCCTGCTCTGACAGCCTGTCCACCCCAGCACTGCCCCACCGTGGCCCCATACCCCTCACCACCAAGGCCCCCATGCTCCCTCCACACCTGCACCATCCCCTTGAGCAGCAAGTGCCATTGCTGTTGTCCTGCTCCCCGGGCTTTCCGGCAGGAAGTGCTACACTAACCAGCTGTGAGGCTGTTTGTGTTGGAAACTACTTGGATGTCATTTTCTTAAATAAGCTAGATGAAATGTATCTCATAAAACATTCATGTTAATATAATACTCAGGCCTAAGTGAATGGAATAAGAAACCCTATAAAAAGCAAAACAAACACAATAAAACGGTAACAAAAAGTATATTGTGTTTACTAACAGAATTACATCAAAGGCAAGTTTAAATACAGGATCCAGTGACTTGGCTGACTCAAGCTGGCTCCAGTGCAGAGGTGGTCTCCTCTCCTAGCCTGGGCATTTCCCAAAATCCCCTCTACCCCAAAGGCCACATCCTACTGCACATCAGCTCACTGTATGTTCCTGTGTCTGTTGGTGCCTGCATCACAGAGCTTTCTGTAAGTTGTCAGGTCTTGCCATCGGCTTCTCAGCAGCCCAAGCACCCATAGGCGCTGCCTGCGCTGCCTGCCCAGGGCCACGCAGGATCAGTGCCGCAGGGTGATGCTCAAGGTGCCAGGCACAGCATCAGGGCAGCATCTGAGCCTCCTCCCTTCCTGCGGGCGATCCAATCTGTCTCGCCCAACTGTTGGGGTGAATCTTCTGCCTGTCTCTTCCCCTAGTCCCTCCCTCCCTGCGACACTGAGACTCTTGTCACTCCCCAGGACACAGCTCACTGAGCTGGCTTGCCAGTGACACCTGTCTTCTGGCTCATCTTTGCTCTTCCTGACTCCAAAAACTTTGCACTCTGCCTGATAAAAGGCTGCCTTCCTGGATCTGTGTTAGCATGCCTTGAAAGCCAAGTCTATTCCCACCAAAGCCTGGCACTGGCTCCAAGTCTTTCTGCCAGCTGGAAGCAGAAATACCGGCATCCTTTGGTTAAAGACAACAAACCAAACAGGATTTGTAGTTTGGCTTCCAAGCAGGGAGGCATTTCAGGAAGATTGTTATAAATAAATGGTTTAACATCTCCTGCCAGGAGACATCACAGAGGAGATAATGTTCTTTTTTTTCTTTAAATCCGACAGCAGCTCAAATTGGTATATTTCCTTCCCAGCTAACGCAAGGCTGCTGATGGGGGCTTCTTCTAAGGGCATGCCGGGCCACAGCTAACCTAGTGTCAGTTACTGGGGTTTACTGCTTGCTGTGATAGTATCTAAGGGCTCCATTTTTATAATTGGTCCTGTATAGGAATAGATCTGTACAGGGCCATTAATAGTTTTATCCACAGATGTACAGAGTGGGCACTTCATTTTGCTGTGAACCTCAGTACTCCAATATTTCTTTTCTTCTGGCAAGGTCCAAAGTCTTCCTGAGTTGATGGGAGTCCCCCAAGCAGGAATTAGAAGGCTTTGAGGGTGATAAAAATGACCTGTTCAGTCTGCGCTCCTGTTTTGTAGCTTGCACCACCTGGGACACACACAGTGCAGTCCAAGCCTGCAGTTGCATTCCTCCTGAAAATGTCAAAGAAGGGACATTTGGTGCTGGCAGCTTGCCTCTTCCCTCCTCTGAAACTGTACATGGGCAAAAGCAGTGCAGCTTTCGGGAGCTCTGTGCCTCAGGGAGGCAGGGGGTGGTTTGGCTGAGGACCTCCAAGCGGGCAGGGGAGGCAGCGTGTGGTGGCTGCAAGCACTGTGTTAATGCTGTGACATTCTGTGGGGTGACATGAGAGGGATGCGGGAGAAGTGGTCCCTCGGTGCCACCTGTTCCTCCAAAACGCTGTGGAGTTACCCCCATACAATGTCTCAAAAGCTTCTTGAACATCACCAAGAAGGACTGTGACAGCCGAGACAGAGCTTCCAATTCTTCTCCATGAACTGAGCTCAACATAAGCAAAGCTGGCTTCACCACTCCCTAGGTTTTGCAGGCAAGTGCTGTGGCAAACATAGCTCAACCCTGTCCTGATCCCCACCAGCTTGGTGGCACTGGCAGGGTCCTAGTTTGTTTGCTGTAGGACATCCCCAGTGTAAGCAGACCCCATGCTTGCTGTTCCCAGACACAAGCCATGCATGCAAACCAGCCTGTTTCTGCAAGCCTATCCTATAGATGCAAGGTGCATTAATTTCTCATCTGCTGCTTTAATTTCTTCTGTCCATATCTTAGATTCCTTTCAGCCATCCCTTGAGGAGGATTATAGGGCTACATCATATACCAGGAAGGGGTTTTTCTTGCTCCAGATCACCTCACATGGGAAGAACCTCTGTTCTGCTAAGAACCTCTCTGAGACCTTTTAAAAATCTGGAGCCATTGCCTCTTCCAGAGGGTGCTGTAGAAACAGCCTCTGTGCAGTGCTCTTTCCAGCTGCTGGAAGAACAGAGAAGTTAAACACACACTGCTGTTAAAGGAAGGATCACGATCAAAGGCGAGTGGCTACTGAGGACAGGTACCACTCTCTCCCAGCTTGTCAGGGCATGCCATGAGCAGGAGAGGACCAGGTGGCTCCCAGTGGGCTCACCTGGGGAACGGTTTGGCAGGGACATGCTAGTGCCCCCCTTCCAGAGCCACTGTGGAGCCATGGGACTGGACCCTTGCAGTATGCAGCATCAGGCCAGCCCTCTTCCCCAAATTCTGTGCCTCTCTGGGGCCACAGTTTAAC